TTGAGGATGTAGTTCTCTAGTTTCAACTGACTTAACATAATTTGCAGACATACAAGTTTTGTATAATAGCTTCTAGAAATGGCTGTCTAGTTCTTACATCCACCCAAGTCAAATTCATTATTTTATTGATTGATATCTGGTCTTCCAACATGAAGTATGATTTTGAATGGAATATCTTACCAATTACTTAGATTTTGATAATTTTAGGGAATCGAAGAGTAGAAAATTGATCCAGTCCGCTATTGAGTCTTGCCTTACTGAGTGAGTGCTTTCTCATCTTCGGTGGATACAGTCATTGATACCATCACTATCTCTTTGGGCCTAAGCAGAAAAGCTCCTTTTCCATAACTTCATATTTACAGTCCTTACTTCCTGACAGAAGCCTGGATTTGAAAGCGCTCTTCAATTCTCTTTGAGAGGTATAGAGAATCTTCTCTTGAGATTCACTTCCTCTTTTTCTGGCAGTACAGTGTCTAGTCCAGTTGTAGCCCCTCCATATATTACCTCATTATTTCATTATATATACTATTAATTTGATAAAAAAGCAGTACTTACTGAAAACTTTGTTAAAGACATAAGATATTTTCAAAAAATAATTTTTTGTTGCCCATTTTTCAATACTACAGAAATTCCAGGCTCTTCGCTGGTTAGAGCTTGAAGCTACTCACGATATGACATTCCTTCAGAAAAATGACACAAGGAAACATGAAAGTGAAAACAGGCTGTAATACTTTATTTGAATTTGAAAAATTAACTATTCATGTCTGTAAGCCTTACAATATAAATTATGCCTGTAACGTTATAGGCTGTGAACCACTTAATAAATATTGCCAAGTTTGTAATGGAAGCATTTCTATAGATAAAAATGCAATAACAATAATGACTACTGTCACCTTTCTTCCAAAAAAGTTGGATAACTACCGAATAACTGGCATGATTCTAAACTGGCTCAGTTATACTTAATCATTATACCTAAGAAAATATTTTTGTGGGCAATATTTCATAAGTGGTTATTATAGATAATGTTAAAGTGCTTAGGGAGTTGAAAGAATCAGGTGTGAAATTTAAAAAATATTTAATTTCGTCACATAACAGTAAAAGTTACAAAAAATCATAAGCCTTAAAAACGTGTTCTTCATTATATTAAAAAATAATTGTACTTTGTCTCATTGGGTTTAACAGTAGATATATCTATTGTAAATACTTTTCCTCACACCATAACTAAGACAATGTGTGGAAAAAGTGTTCTCAATTGATTCATTTTACGCCAGAGGTTCCAATTCTATATATCAAAACAGTGAACCATGCAAACCACTATTTTTTCAAATTGTTTATTATGCTTTTTGTAATGATGGAAATAAAAGTGATTGTGTCAAAGATATTTTTCGGGTAATTGTTTTTACTGCGGTAGTGAGGTCAATAAACGGTATAGTGTTGATGTTTCATGAGAAGAAAAATAAAAATCAATATCTATGTTCTAAAGGCCCATTTTTTTCATGAAACTATATGAACTCATTTTCTGTAGGAATTTCTGAAATACCCTCAGTCAGTATAAATTCAACAATATACATTTCTAAAAGAATAGAACATACACATGGCAAAATGCCGAAGTTAGGATATCTGTAGAAGATATGCAGGTATATGATATAAACAAACTGATTATCTATTTACATTTATTAGATTATGATGATACGATTTTATTAGTTTTTCCAATCTATAATTTTTATACAAAAAAAAAGTTAATACAGTAGTTCAGTATTAAATTCGATAATCTATGTGAAGGTAATAATTCCAATGAAAATCTTAGTTTTTATATTGAATACTGATTATTTCATAATGAACGATTTTTACTGTACAAAAAAATTGTATAATGAATTGTCAACTTATAACTAGTAAATTAGAAATATTTTCTCCTATCTCATCATGTCTGGAAATATCACAGTTATTCCGTTATTTACTATAATTATGTTCTGCGGTTTGTGGAAACCTTTTTCTAAAAATCAAATACTTGTCAGTAAGGAAATGATTTACAAATGTATCTCAAAAAGCCACAAGATATGAATTATGAAATTTTCAGACTTTATATTATAACATGAATACGGATTGTTTATCTATAGAGAAAAGTAGATACAAAGCAAAAATCCCAACAGAGTCATTAGAAGGTAGTTGCGTTTAGTGAACCCGGCTGGATTGCACCCATCTCCTGTACAGGTGAAAACACATGTCCTGTAGTTGAGAATATCCCCAGGTTGCTTAACGTAGTTGCAATAGTTGCCTAGATCCAAAGATGAACAAAACCGTTTGGCTCCTATTCCTCCTGCAGATGAATAAATAATGAGTACATTTTGGTAAGTTATTTCAAAGAAATATGGCAACTACTGATAAATTCTTTGGCATAAAATGTTCGTTATTTTAAGATCAGGTCATGCTATTGTGGGCATGTCAAACTATTTGAAAACCACTTGTCGAGTTGATAATGTTCCTTCTCATCACTTACTCTAGAAATAGAAATATTCTAGTACAAACATTCTGGATTCATCCTCCAAGAAAAATCGATTGAACTGTGAAGGACAAGACTAAGAAGACTCAAGTAAAAATTATATTTTTTTATTTAATTACATCAGCTTCCCTATTACCAATGTATGTAATGTATGTATTATATGGAGAAATTAAGTATAGAGATATCATTTTTACCATTGACTAACCTGATCCATTATGCAATTATGTGGCCTATTATTTTAAAAATTATTATTTTTAGACAAAGTCCGAATGTCTATCATTCAACAAGAAACATTGTCATATTAAAACTTAAATTGATTGATAAAATTCATGATAATAATATCTTGTATTCATATACACATCATCAATTGAGGATTGACCATAAATGAACTTCACTACGGACACCACATGCATAAACAAACAATACATAAACAATTTTACCATTCAGACTAAAGGTTTTAATACAATATTCAGCCTCAAAAACATCACTACAGTCGTTAGGTTCTATCCCTCCCAATTGAATCATTCCGTCGGAGCAGTCTGTGGATTTGGTAGCTGAACACTGGTAGCATTTCATTGCGTAGGCTGATTCCAGAGCAGCAGAAAGTAATGAAGATTGAAATTAGAAATAGTTCGCAAAAAATACATTTGTCCTGGAATAAGAGGTTTCTATATTCATTGTGCCAGTTGTTACGTTGATTTTTTTTTTCAAATTAAACTAAACAATTGAAATAGTAAATAGTCTTGTAGTAATGGTGAAAAATATCTGTGAGGTAGATCTGTTGACATTCGTTCCGAGAAAAACGGGCAAGTGTCTTACATCATTTTGGGTATACCTACCGATAGACATCTTTATTTCGGACAGGTTGGAGCCTGGCTCCCTTACCCTTTGGACTGATGTTCGTCAGGAAGACGAATGGGTCAAGACTGATCTATGGAATGACGGCATGAATGTCCTCAGACATCAGTGCCGCCCTTCAGGTGGACCCCTACCTGGCTGGGGTGTTTGGATGAAGATATTGTTCATTTTTTAACGGGGGACATGAGGGCCTCACTCGACAGAGTGTCTGGGCCTTCTATATCGGGAGGGGTCGTCTACAGCATAATCCATAGCTTCCCTAACTAACGCATTTTGGGTATACTATTAGGGTACCTATCTATATACCTACTATATCAAACATAGAGCAGTTTGCACTTTAATAAAGTATATGGAGTTTTTCTACCTCTCCTACGTTGACTCCCTTAGCCTTTAATAGTCATCGTCTTTATGTGGTTTTTTAGGTTACCTAATTATTATCATCCGCCTTATTTTACGTAAAATACCAAATTATTAATATCAATGCAATGTACTCATTGTATTTTTTTTTTTCACCTTTTTTGTTTACGGAAAATGGATTTAAAATGTTTTAGATCTTTTCACAGCTCAACCCCTCATGGATTGTTGTGTGGCTCTTGACTTCTATCAACTGGAATTCCAGGTCTTATTATCATGATTCGTTTGGAATTCAATTCAGAAAGTGCTAATTTGAAAATGTACCTTGAATAATTTGGCCTCCGGTAAAAATAATTCAATATAATTTTGACGATAACAGATGAAACAACACATATATCCGAAATGAAACTCGGATATTTTTTTTTAGGTGATGGTCAAGTATATGATATTTTTGATAAAGTTAAAATGATATTAGAGTTCTTTGAAAGACCGATATTTTTTTACATAAATAGGTAAGTTATATATTACTGGAGTTTTTTCCCAACTCCAAATCGTTATTTTCAATATATCCCTCGATGGCTGGGAATTTCTGACGAGGTGGTTTATCATTATGGCTATTTTTGTACAAAAAATATTACCATTTCGCCATAATGGAATCTGTTTATCAAACTAGCACCAAGGTTTGCATCCACTTGAAGATCTGGGATCATAGAGGTGGCAAATGAAACATAACAAGTTTGAAATATGGGTCTACTGGATTTAACCAAATTATATTATCATGAGAGAGAACAAAATCTGGGCTTCGCTAGACCGTGGTTGAATGGAACTTGTACTATGAAACATTATGTCTGCAACATTTAGTATTATATGTTACATTCAACCACGGCCTATCAGCCCAGTTTTTATTCTCTCTAATCGTGACTCCGGCCATGAATGACTATGTCCTTATAATTAATGTTATCATTTGAAAGTAACATTTATGAATGAGAGTGTTAGCAAAGCAGAATATTTTCAAAAATTATAAAACAAATGCTGTAATATAGTTAAAGTTCAAAATATCATTTTAGTTGTTGTTTATTGAGATGATTGCATCTGGATTTGGATTACTAATAAAAATTGGATATTTTCGGAAGGTTTTAATTTATCTGCTGGTTTCATACAAAAAAAAATAGATGGCAATTTTTGAAGCACCTCGACTTTCAGAATGATATAGTTTGTGTACTTCATAGGATTGTACTTTGGAACCATTAAACTTTGTATTTTGCTTCAACTTGTTCTTAATTTTCAGGGGAAAGTACAATCCTCAACATAACCTCAATAAAACAGAGTAATTATAATAAGATAAATGCACCACTTATTGACAACAATAAAAGAAAATTTGCTTTTCTTTCTACTGAGACAGTACCTGATTACAGACCAAAGGATTTAATTACTGAGAAAAGCCAAAAGACTTCGAATAATCAAACGACAAAGTTTCAGCAGTTACAGCAACGTTTCAGTCATGTTGAAGTTAATAATAAAGACATATCTCTAACAAGAGAGATGAATAACATTGGAGAGAATATATTGACGGATAATGATGTAAGTGCAAACTTGTTATTTTTGTAATTATATTATTAATGTAATTCCATAGAACAAATTTTTCGTGCAACTTAATCTGGAAATGATTATGAAATGGACAAAACACAGTCAAGTTGTTTTCTTCTCAATGTTATAAAACTTCTAGACACTTCATCGTTAACGAGAAATTCTGTTTGAATGTGTCACTGATCTTTCATCTTCGAGAGGTTTTGTGCTACTTTTCCTCGATGGATGACATTTTATTTCATGACTTTTTTTTGTTTCATATAATAGCTTCGACGAGCTTATCAGTCTCAGTGTGAAGAAATAAGAAAATTGAAGAAACAATTGTCAAATAGTGAACAGCGCATAAAAGAACTCGAGGAGCAAGTGAGGAGATTACTTATCAAATGAGTTTTAGCAATTACCCAACTCATTCCTCAAATCGAACATCACTATGTACATTTTTATATAATTGTGGATTTTATTAAGTTTATGTAATGTTGCTCTTATCTATAATTTTAAGTCTGACTTTATTTTTGTGATAATCCTTGTAACGAAGATTAGGATATATTTTATATTTTTTTAGTAATTTTGTCCTCTCATACAAATTAATTTAGTGACATCAGTATTCATTGAAAATGTATATTATTTCCTAAAATTTAAATTGATACCTCATCAACTTATAAATGAAAATATATTTTACAATTGGAAACTTTTCTTCTTGTACACATAGTTGAAAAATACAGAGAACAAGTG